TTTTTACCAACCCGATCTGGATAATGAATCAACTTTCTCTTCTGGAAAACTCTTTTTATTCTCCACCTCCATACTAATTCGTCTATCTTTTCAGAGAGAACGCAATGTGGCAAAGGCAAAATATTGGAAAATATCTCAGGCTTTTTATCTCTCATTTTCAGGCTTACGGGATAACTATTCTCAATTAATATTAGCTTGAGCCGATCCAATTAATTATAACAATATTTTCAATCGGCTAGTCTTATGCTCCGTATGATCACAGATTTTCAAGCACCAACCTTTGTTTTGTAGCTATGGTTACAGAAGAAATCAGGATAAAGCCAGCTTGTATTGGCTTTCTATATATAAATCCCTGCCTGACGTCTCACCTGATCACTAAAACATCCAAAAAAGTTAAATTATTCTCCTTCCATATTTCCATTGTCAACTTAACATTGCAATTAATCAGGTTATTCAAGGACAAGCAATTATCTAAACTATCTCAAACATGCTTCCATTTGACAAAGTAGTCATTCATATATTTGACTAACAGTTTTGGGGCCAATCTTACCTCATGCATGAAGCGTTCCTCCATTCTTCACACGCAACTATTCGATAAAATGGAAGCCAAACAAGATACCATTGCTAGGCCATGCACCTGTTCATAAACCTCATCATAACAGGTGTAGTATGTGCTACTCATGGATAGATTAAGTAGTCTTAATATTTCGCTTTTGCTCAGATTTGCTTTCCTAAAATTATGTAGGCGTTCAATTAGGCCAATTGTTAGTGCTTCATTAGCTATTTCAAAGCAATTCAAGTGAACCGAATCGGCAATACTTTGAATGTAATGAATGTCGGCACGAAGTTGAGTAAAACGAACATGTGCTTAATTAATAGACTAAAAGATAAAGAGGGTGTTGAGCCGCCTGAAAAAGTAAGGTGACTCAAATACTCTTTTTTTTTCTTTAATCTAGTCACAGTTACATTTCTGTACTATTTAGCCCACTCTTTGTATCTCACATGTATCCACATAACCAGGTGTGCGTCCGACCTTGGGCAATCGGAGTGATGGTTAAAATATAAACATAAAGAAAGGGATGATGGTGGCCATCAAACCTTGCTGGCCAAGAACAGAAGTTACTTTTGCTGTCCCAATTACTTTGATGTTGGAGTACCTTTCATTTCGTTAGAAGAGGCTAGTTTGAGGGATTGGTAAGTTGGTTCCACCGGAGCCTGTAGAGGGATTGTCTTGAAGGTGTGGTTGTAGATTTGTGCGAATAGATCCTCGGCGCACCGCCCTGTGACCCCGATTGCTCCGTCGTGTGACGGGCATCGTCAGAGCAGGGCCCCATGGCCAACGATAATTCACCAAAAACACGAAGACAAACTCTCGCCTCTTCAAACGAAATAAAAAGGTATTTCAACATGAACCTGCTGAGAGATTATTCAAAACCCACCTTTGCTACATACCTAATTACTTTAATCTATCACTGCTGGTTTCGTACATATGCGAACAGACACAGGCACATTCACATACAGAGACAGACATACTCATCTGATCCGAGGTTGACATATGACTGAAACCAACTGAATGACTTTATACCTCATCAAAGAGGTCAGATATTGAGAATACATGCATCATTTTAGGGATAAGCCAGTCAGTTTTCTTGACTTGTTTGTTTGAATATGGTTGTAAGGATGATACCATGTTCTGATGATCTCCGTCATACGACCGTCGAAAGTCTAGCACGTTTTCACCTGAATCGAAGGAGATTGCCTTGGAAACAGAGTCAAGAAGAATGTTCCAGTTTACTCGAAATAGAAGTTAGCGCAACAATAAGTTATTCAACCAAACCCCGGTTTGCTGTATCGACAATCCCAGCAACTGGGAACTTTTGGCTGTATGGTGTAGTGGCAATGAGGCCAGTGCTGCTGATGAGAACTATGCGAGTTTGAAGTCTCGGCAGGATCGGCATTATAAAGCATAGTGGGAAAATGTTTGCATACTGCCTCTTACTACTGATATACTACTTTTCCTTTCAATGTTGCAGTTGCTGCACCTTGTGTGTCACATGAACGAGCCGACTCTGATGCGAGTCATCCTTGCGATCTAGGATGGTTATAGCTGTTCTTCACGATCAAATGCTATTCTCGCAACCTACTAAAAATGAATATGAGTAGCGTAGTAGAGTGTACCGACAAATGCAATTACGATCTCGCCATGACATGAGGTATACAAGAGGCCTTTTCTTCAGATGGCGGGTAGCACGATTCAGGTTCGAGTCCCGGCGAGATAGCCAAATTGTTACCCCGGTCGAAAAAGTGGCCGTCAGGCCCAGGTGAACACGTCCTCTACTGACTCTGTAGTCATGGCAACGAGGCCCAAATGAGGTCTTCTCATCTGAGCCCATCAGGTGCCCTAGCGACAAGCAGGACTCAGCTTCAGAATGGGCCCTGGTGTCTGTCGGACGACTACAAACGTGTGGAGGCGGTGGTTGAGTTGTGTAATGCGGTCATGCGTCTGTCGACGAGCCAAGCCTGAGAATGTGCTCACACACGCACGGCTCAGCTAGCCAGGCTGAATCGACTGTATCATGTAGGCTCATGTCGTTGTTTTGTAGTCAAGTGTTGCCATTAGAGTTCTCCTCCACCTCAAGGGGACGAGTCGAAGGGTTGAACGTCCTCAGGGCTGATGACGAGGACTCTTTAGTTCCATACAATCCAGTGAAATTGTGAGATGTAACTGCCAGTTTGGGGCGAGTTTTGGCCAATAAGTGCAATTGCAGGGCTAAATTGCATACACACAAACACAAACACACTCAAACAACCAGAGGCCGGGTTGTGCCTGTGTGTTGTATTCGTTCAGTGTGCGTCTTAAAACTCCCAGCAGACCGCACAGCCGTTTCGCTTTCGCCCAGACTCAAAGTGACCTCAGGAACTGGACTCGAGTCCGACCAACCAACCAATCAACATGCCCCTTACTCCATTTCCCTACCCGTTGGTGGCTCTGAACAAGCCTCAGAGTCTTCCGGAGGATAGGCTGGAGGGCAATCAAGCGACACACGAGGCGCAACAGTAGCAACATTAAAAACAAAAGTAGTATATCAGTAGTAGAGAAAGTATTTAAATGGTGTGATATTAATTTTCATTTCGAAATCAAAGTTGGTCTGAAGGAAGGAAGTTTAAACATTTTCACGGTATCCTGAAACAATTTTTTCCCAATTTTTATCTCAGGGACGATCTCCAAACTATTTATGTACTGTATGAAGACTCCCTATATCAATTATTCTAACACGATTTTTAATTTTGTCGGAAGATATTCTGAAGTTGTTTTACCGGAAACCAAAAAAGGACTACTTCTCAAATAAAGAAACTTGAATTTTGTGAACAAGTTCTCCGATTGACTCGTGATACGCTTTTGTCCATTCACTGATAGATATCGTCAAGGCGAGAATTATACCTTAAGAAAAAAATGCTCAAATATACAAAACCAAATGAAATGACGACCGGCTACGAAACTACTCACTTCTTATACCTAATTTTATGATATCAATGAGGCATTCCATGATCTGACTGGTCACTTTTTGTTCATTGTGCTTTCTTCCATTTCGAATAAAAGTGTTTGGTGAAGAGATTCGAAAAATGGTTTCATAATAACTTACTAAGGGAGTCTTAGAAATTCAGCTTTTCTTCGTAGTTTTTAGGTCTTTCCTGAAGCAACAAAATTGTTTAGTCTCAACTCATCTCAGTCGTTGCCTGCTTCAAAGACCGCCGGATAATGATTGAGGGTAAGATATGCAAGTTTCGTCTGTTCTTTTAGTGTCAATGGGGGAAGATTTTGGGATAATCACTTCTTCTCACAAAAAAATAATTATGAGCTGTGTCTCGAAAGCCTACTTAAAACAAATAAATGCTTGTATGGGTTTTTTCACAATAACATGACCAGGCCTCAATTAGCTCTGTCACCAAATAGGCTCTGTTATTCAGTATAGAAATGGTTTCCCTTTCGATTTCGCAACTTGTTCGTGTTGCCAGAGCGACCAAGTCATAATAATTTCCAAAATTGGACTGTTGACTTGGTACATTTACAGATGCTTCGCCGATA